GGTTTGTAGGGCCTCAGTGTGCTCATGATGCTCGCCCCTCGGTAGCCAGGCGTGGTAAGAAAGCTCCGGCTGATGCTCATGATGCTTGCCCCTGCGCGTTTGTGGGGGGAGCATGTGGTGACAAAACTCCGGCTTACTCATGATGCTCGCCGCTCGGGGTTTGTGCGGCAGCAAAACACCGACTGATGCTCATGATGCTTGCGCCTCGAGGGTTTGCGGGGTAGCAAAGCTCCGGCTGATGCTCGTGATGCTCGCCTTTGGGGCGGTTTGTACCAGGCTAAGTGTGGTCGGGAGGCTAAGTGTGGTCGCCCCTCGCTCGTTTGTGGGGACCCAGTGTAGTAGCACAGCTCCGGCTGATGCTCATGATGCTTGCCCCTGCGCGTTTGTGGGGGGGAACATGTGGTGACAAAACTCAGGCTTACTCATGATGCTCGCCGCTCGGAGTTTGTGCGGCAGCAAAACTCCGGCTGATGCTCATGATGCTTGCGCCTCGAGGGTTTGCGGGGTAGTAAAGCTCCGGCTGATGCTCGTGATGCTCGCTGCTTGGGGGTTTGTGGGGCCAGGTGTGGTAGCAAAGCTCCGGCTGAATGAGGCAAAATGTGGTCGCCCCTTCGGCCGTTTTTGGACCAAGTGTGGTGGCAAAGCTCCGGCTGATGCTCATGATGCTCGCCCCTGGGCGTTTGTGCGGGCCAAGCAAACTCCGGCTGATGCACATGGTGCTCGCCGCTCGGGGGCTTTGTGGGGGGAGATGTGGTGGCCAGGTGTGATAGCGGGATGCTCATGATGCTGGCCGCTCGAGGGTTGTGGAGGCCGGGTGTGGCAGTCACGGATGGCGAGGGCGGAATTCACAAGCGCAACGTACAAGATCCGTTGTCCTTACAGACAAACAACCGCCAAGACACACAACACCGAAAACCACAAGCCAACACCCCATTATCAGACCCTCAATACTGCAAAATCTTCGCAAGCACGCCAAGGAGTCCGGCAGTGCCGGTGCAGCCGATAACTGCGACGCATGGAAAAACCCTAAAACCACAGAAGCCCGAACTCCCACACCGAACTTCTGATACCTGGGTGTAGGATCTCATGCTGCGGTGAACACGGTTAGGCTCTCAATTCCCAGGATATCGCGCAACAAGCAACAGGTTTGAGACCACAGAAAGCCGTAGAGTGCCATAGAAACTTATCCGATCTACAACCGTAAAGCCGTAAACTCGAAACCACAGGCCCCACTCTGAAAGCCCAATCCCTTCGACCTGAAAACTTCAAAACCTAGGCTCCCAACTCACTCTCAACTCCACACCCCAAAGAATCCCACACCCCCCCAGGCACCCCCCAACCCGAAACCCAAACGCCCTCAACCCTAAACCGTAACAACCCTAAACCTAAAGCCCAAGAGCCCCAAAGAGCCCTGGAATCCCCAGGTTCCATGGGAGGAGCGGCAGAAAGCCAAGCGGGCCGGGGACCAAGAAAGACGTGATGTAGGGGCCCAAATAATTACCTAAACTATTTTGGGGGCTCCTTATTATAATTATTGTATAATACATACTATTTTGGGGGCTCCTTATTATAAGTATTGTATCATATATCCCGAAACCCTATTCTAGTTATGGAGGCCCTGATGTTAGGATTCCAGCAGGCTTTGCGATTCCTCCTTTTCGAGGTCCCCCAGTGGTACCCTTAGGCAAGCGAGTATCCTTGTTATTGTGGTTTTGCTAACAGCTAACATGTATGTTTAGGGCGTGGGATTTGTCAGTTTAGGGTGTAGGGTGCCTGATGCATTGTTGCGCAGTAGCTACACGAATTAGTAAGATCCTGATTTTGCCTTGTATTTGTCATGGTCATGGCAGGACTGAGGCAGGGTTCAGTGTTGCACGGCTGGGAGACGAGTAGATGCTGAGTGAGAGGGAGTTTAGATTGGTGTCAGGGAGGGCTTGGATGGGTCAGTTTTGTTGGTAAGTCGATCTTCAGCAGAGCTGTCCCAACAGATCTACTCGGTGTGGTAGGCTACAGAATGGCGGAAGTCACGGGTCCTTCCTTGAAGAAGTGGCTCGGGTTGCGGCTTTACAAAGATCAGGGCTGGGTTTGGGGTTTACCGGTTTAGAGTTTGGGGGTTCGGGGTTTGGGGCTTTGCAGCTTTAGGGCCTCAGGTTCTGGAAGCTTTCTGGTCTGGCTTCCAGTGCTTTAGGGCTGCTGTTTTTTTTGGGGGCTTGACGGCTTCGATTCCAGGTGCCAGGTGAGGCTTGCGATTGTGGGCTTGGTTTCTTAGGCTTCAGAGTGTAGGAGTATGGGCTCTGACTCGTACGGTTTTCAGCTGCAAGTCCTTAAGAAGAGGGTTCCAGGATCCTTTCAACCGAGCATGCTAAATTCCCTTCGAGACCGTCCGAAAACCATGCAGCTTTCTACAGTGTCCATCCGCTTAGGCTCCGATCCAGGATAATGTAGGGGCCTAAATAATTACCAATACTATCTCGGGGTTCCTTATTCTAATTCTAGTATAAATCCCAAACCCCTATTCTAACTATCAAGGCCCCTACGTTATCGAGGCCCCTTCCTTACCTGCCTCCGAAAAAAACCCAGCCAAAGCTTGAAATCGAGTTGCCCTAAACCCTAAACCCAAAACCCTAAACCCTAAACCCTAAACCCTAAACCCAAAACCCTAAACCCAGCCAAAGCTTGAAATCGAGTTGCCCGAAAGGAACTCGAGGCGGTGAAAGCCAAGGCCAAGGAGCTGGAAGATGCCGGCAGCCCAAGGGGGTAACTTAGGGTTTTAGGGTTTAGGGCGTAGGGTTTGGGGTTTAGGGTTTAGGGATTTTTTGGGCTTCCTTTCGGGTTTTTTTGTCGGCTCCATTACACTCGGGTTCCGGCCGTTTTTTGGCGCACGACGGGATCAGTCGTGCCAAGGTTTCACACTTCGGAGCTTCTCGCAAGCATTTTGGACTCTTGCGCGTCAGATTGGGCGAGATTTTTTCTAGCTTGCGGGCCCCTTAACCATCTTTTTTTGGAGGTCTGAATGGTCTGATTACGTAGAATCAATATCCCCTTGTAGTCCATGCAACACTTGTAACATGACACACGCGCAAACCCTATTCTGCACGCGGTTTCAGGGCCGACACAAGAGTTCAGGGTGCGCTCTTCTTTGGGGTTCAGGGTTTGGAGTTCAACTACGTAGGGGTTGGAGTTTAGGCTTTAGAGAATTACGGCCTGTCAGACATCCTTCCAACCTAAGCGATTCGACTGCGCAAAGCCCCGGGCTCTGGCAGAGACAGGGTAGGACTAGGAGCATTGCTGCATAGCGGCATGCTAGATCCCTACAGTATTTTGGCTGTCTACAGTTCTGAAGACTTGGAAAGGCAAAGAAGGCCGTGAAGAAGCAGAAAGCCAAGAAGAAGTGCTGAGCTTAGCTTGTTGGCAGAAGGTATCATTCTTCGAGCATGGTGCAGCCGGTCTTTCGGACAAGAGAGGAAGAGGTTTGGGGTCGAAGGTCCGAGGTTTTCGTTTTTAAAATAATGTTTCGGTTAAACTCTTTTGTTTAGGTTTTAGCTCTTAGCATGTTGCGTTTTCGTGTTTCCGGTTTGGGTCCACGCAGGGTGCTCTCAAGGCTCAAGGCTTGAATTGTGGCGCTACGTCGCGTGGCCTCCGTTCAGAAACCCAAGCCTGTTAGCCCTAAAGCTCCCCGCAGTTTTGCTTTCGAGTCGACAGGGTGGACCTCAACGCCTGCACAGGCGATGCGGGTATCCGTATATAATGAGGATCCTAATATCAGGATCAAGTTAGGGCCTCTAGTTTCCGAAACTCCAACGGAGTCCCGAACTTGTAGGCCCAGAAGGCTTAAAGCCCTTAAGCCGTGAGACCCTTGGGTAGGTACATTTAAAACCTCCAAACCCCGAAAAGACACCATGTAAACGCTAACCCTGGCCTTTGGCCCCAAACCCTTAGATCCAACACCCCATAACTTGTAAGACTACAATCTCAGCAGTCTTCTCCGTAAAGCCCTAAACCCCTAAACCCCAACCCCAAACCGCAAACCCGCCGCGGGCCCGACAGCTTCATCTCGTGGCGCCCTGCAGGGAGGAGAAGAAGCGGAGGAAGGAGGAGAACGAAATCAAGGGGGGCCAGTTCCAGGTGCGGGCTCTAGCTTTAGGCTCCCAAAGGGGCTCTAGGAGCGAGTGAAGATTTCAGAGTTTTGCTTCCTGGTCCCGTCAGCCTTTGGGGTTGGGTGTCTGGGGATGTAGGGCTCTATGACGCCTTGGAGCGTGCCGTTTACCGCGAAGGCTGAGGGTTTAGGGAACCAGTCCAGGGTTCAGGGAATGAGGGGTAATATAGGGGCCTTAATGATTACCTATACTATTTGGCGGGCGCGGGATTCAAGACGCACGCTGTCTCCCTGTAAGGGTCTACAAAGTCCGGATTTCCTGCTATTTCGAACCTTGCTTGGGGGCCTTACAGACTGCACACAGGTTCTGCTCCGACAAAGCATTCCTATTGTTTTTTAATTAGAAACCTACCAAATTACCTATTGCTGGGCTCTTAAATAGGACCGAATAGTTAAGACGCGCATGGGTTCTCGGCACATTTGGCTCCCACAGCAGCTTCACACAGACGCCTTGCTTCGCTGCCGGGGGGGGGGGGGTAAACACCCGATTCCGGTAAAAATATCGCCTTTAAACACCAAAAACCTCTGTTTATTAAAAACAAGGTGCGTCTTAAATCCCGCGCCCGGCTACTATTTTGGGGGTTCCTTCTTCTGCATATAGTATAGTATACCCCAAGGCCCAAGACCCTGCTCTAATTATCAAGGCCCCTATAGTATATACGGCTCTATGTTTCGGGGTCATCAGGAGAATCGCAAGCCCGGAACAGGGAAACACTAAACCCCAAACCGGAAGCCCTACCCCTATCCTTCGGGGTTCTCTGAGACGTTCAGCGGATCACAAAGGCGTCCGAAGAAATTCAGAACCAAAAGCAAACAATCCAAGTCCAAAACACCCAACCCCTGAAGCTGGCGTGGTAGGCCCCGGCTTCTTCAGAGTTCAGAGCTTTTTGGCGTCGGGGCTTGGGATTTACGGGTTTTGGGGTTCGCGGGCCCGCGAGGTTCGATTCGTTCAGGGTTTAGGGTTTAGGGCTAAGTTTCTGGATACGGCGGTTTTGTTGTTGAGCCTGACGGGATGTAAGGGCACAGCCCGCAGCCGAAACTGTGAAGATCGACATTCCTAGCCAGGTCGTCAAGAAGACGGAGAAGGTTCGAAAGTGGCACAAGAACGCCAGGCCAGACCTATTCGGGACTTGCTCTGAGTTGAGGTACCTTGTTAATAGGATCTTAGGGCTTAGCGCCCAGGATGCTAGCGGTGCTGTGCCGGAAGGTAAATGACTATCAGGCAAGGGTACCTGCCGCCCAAGACCCATGGATCCCTACTCGAGCCCCGGGTTGCATGGAGCCCGAGGTTGGCGCATGTAAGATGTCTGGGCACTGCAGCCCGGAGCCGTTTCACGAACAAAAAGCGCCCAATAAAGGCGCCTCTGTGGTTGAAACCTCCTTGCGACACCGAAGAAGGGTTGCCCGTCTGGTCATGCGGGTTCAGATCTCAGAGCCCCTTATTTGAGGGCTCCCGTCTTGAAACCTCACAGAAGGCTCTTTCCGAGCCCCGGGCAGGTACGTGGCTTAGGGGTTGCGGATTCACTGTAAGAGGTAGGGGAGGATGCCGGGTTTAGGGCCTAGCATTAGGGCGTGTTGGGCAGCCGGAAGGAAGATGCTCCGGACCATGAGCGGCGAGCAGATTGAGCGGCTTCTGACGACGAACCAGTACTGATCCGCTTGGGGCGACATCCGGGAGGTAACAGGTAACTGTGGTTCGAGCTGATGTATGAACATCTTTTCCAGGTACCTGTCAGCTTCTGCAGCACATCGTACTTAGGTATGCCTTTGGGCTTCAGGGTGGTGACTGCGGGCAGGGCGTGGTTACGAACTTGGAGGTTAGAAGGTCGTGATTTTGGCCCCGAGCCTTAGACGTAGACATGTCGTAGCTTCTCCTTACGACCGAACCCGGGGTTCAGGGATGCAGCGTTGGGGTCGCTCTCCGAAGCCTTGGTGCTGCCAAGACGGCCCTCCGCAAAGGATGCGGCCGCAAGTGGTCTCACCCCAAAGTGCCCCGCTCCGAACACCAAGCGTGAGTTTCAGACAGCTTCAGCCTAAATTTTACAGAAGGACATCTTTCACTAGCTGGCGGAAGCCAATGTTGAGTTAACGCTTAAAGCCATGGAAAGCAGTGAACGGCCATACCCGAAGCCGTACACACCAAAGACCCAAAGGTCTGCACCATCGGAATCCCCAAAACCATTGGGGGTTGGGGTTTCGGGTTTTCTGGGGTTTCTGTTTGCGTGTAAGATGTCGGGTTGAGGGCTCAGGGTTTGCAATCTCAACCCCAAGGCACCGAAGCTTAGGACTTAGGTCCCGGCTCTGAAACAGCTTGGAAGCTTCTGGAGCAAGTGCTGCACACCTAAGCCGGCACTGGGACAAAGGGACAAAAGCGAATGCCTCTGCAGGGACAGTAAGCTTAGACGCTACGTAGCCCGGGATCGTAGAAAATAGACTCATCTGAAGACCCTGCCTGAACCCAAGGACTTGAGGATCCTATGCAGCGCTAAGCAACCATTCTCCAGTCATTCTCCACTCATTCCTGGAACTTTGGGCCAAGGGCGCGAGTCACTTCAAAAGCTGCTGGTAGGGTAGGTTTTTTCCCCAAGGCTCCTCCAAGGAAGCACCTTCATCTTGCTTCTATGCCTGCCCGCAATCGTGCCTTCCCTCAAGGTTTTCGGGTCTAAAGTGTAAAGTTTGTGGGTTCATCCCAAACCCTAGGCCCGGTCCCATGGACCCTACAGCTTTAGAGCTCGGGCCCAAGCCCGAGCCACTGGACCCAGAGCACTAAAATCCTTGACCCGGAACCTGGACCCTACAAGTAGAACCTCTATAGAATCTTATCAGGAGTATCATACAACCACTTACAAGTTTCATATCCTAGAGCCGTAAGAGGCAGTCGTGGACAGAGCCATTAAAAGAGCCACTTCCGCCGCTGTTTCGGATCAGCTCCGACCCCTCCCCGGAACAAGTTTTTCTTTTGGCGGCCCGGGAAAAAGGAGGTCTGGGCCCGCCCTCGCCCCAGGTTGCTCGATTTGGTGCTTAGGGGAACTAGGGTTTAGTGACTTTGTTTACGTTCTTACCCCGGATTCTTGGGCGTAGTGTTTGATGATGCAGGAACGTGCAGATTTGGGTCCACAGCATCTGGGCTGAGGGATTTAGGTTGCAATTTGCAGCGTTTGCGGGCGTTTCAATCATGATGGTGGCCTAGTGCAAGCCCCCTTATGACTTGTCACAGGCCTGTCCCCCGAACCGCACCGACAACTGTGTACTACGCCACGGGGAATGTGCGAATTTCCCATTCATGGTTGGGATGGCACCTTGAACCATTGTTCCGAGCACCTAATTGGAAGACCTCACGCCCGAGAGAGCAAATCCGAAATCAGGAACCGGAAACACAGGGTTTCCGCTAGCTTGTGCTAGCATGGCTTTTCATCAGTTCAAGCAGAAGGGTGATCGAAGAGTCGAACGGACATGATTAGTACAAGTAATGATACGGATGGAAACATCGGCTACATCATTGCCACGTAACATGACCTCAAAATCCTCAGACACCAGTAATATGCAGTGTAGCATCCCGTGCTAGCGGCTCACATGCCCAGATACCTTACAGTGCCTTGAAGTTTGTATCAATAAGGATAGTAGAACAAGCCCAAAAATACATCTCACAGACATGAGGCTACTTACGCCATCGTTCGGGAGGATCCTGTGCCGCGAGCTTGGCAGATGTGTCACATGATGCTGCAAAGCCAAGACCCCAAACCCGCGAATCCAACAACCCTTCACACCCAGAAGCCTTAAACCGTAAAACAAAAAGCAGAACTAAGCCCTAAAGTGTAGAAGCCCTAAACCCTAGCCGCCTGATGCTCTGAACCACCTGAGGTGTTGCTCTAGACATGACGAGTGCGAGTCTGCTGGCACAGCCTGTACATAAATGACTGCAAGTTGAGCGCTCAAGCCCAGCCTAAATCCCAACCCCTCCACTCTAAATGCTGGCTGCCCTAACCCTGAAGTCAGCCCGTGTCGATCAACGCTCTGTGAGCCCTTCAAGAACTCCCTGGACCGGCACCAGCTACCAGCCCAGCAGGCCAAAAAGAGGCATTTCCAGAAAGACAAAGAGAAGCATCCCCAGCCCCCAGCCCTGAGCCTGCTTCCTCTCAGGACTAAAGCCCCATAGGCCAGGAAATCCGTTCAAGAATCATGACTATTATATGTTCATGGATTCAGGGGCTGTTTCTAGTATTGTTACTAGTGTTGCTATGTTTGGCTCTTTCTTTTTGAGTTCCCGGAGCCCGTCTTCTCAGGCTCTCTTTGAGGCTTCGGCCTCGGCCCAGGAGCCATGCCGGGGGTCGATGACTGCGGCCGGGGGGCCCACGTGTGCCATCCACTTCGAGTCTACAGGGTTATTTGATTTGGTGGGGTTGGGGGGATGGGGGGGGGTCTATGTAGGGAGAAAGTAGGATTTCGCCTCCTCCTGATACAGGAAAAGGGGGAGGGGAATGTGTTTTGTTTCTGTTTTTGTCTGCGACGTTGCAGGTCACACTGAGCCGTCAGCTTCCATGCCGAACCCTCACCATAAACCCTCAGACTCTAAGCCTAAACCCGAACACCCAAAAGCCCCAAACCCAAAACTCGAAACCCAAACTCCTTCAAAGTCCCCCCCAAAACCCCAACCCTGAACCTCCCAAGCCTTCAAAACCCTTTTGAAAGCCCGAACACTCAAACCCCAACACCACATCTGCTCAGACCTCTGGCATCATGCTCCCAGTCTAGAAATACAGGCCCTCTAAAGCCATAATCCTAAACCACAAGCCCGAAAGATCCTCGATGCCCGAACCCCAACTGGTTGGGAATTCGGACAACGGGAAGGCCTCAAACTCACAGCCATGCCCCGAGCTCCGTAAAGTGCACAGGGGTCGTACAGGGTTGATATGCGCAGTATCTAGGGTTAGATCGGTTGCTAGTATTCCATGATTTAGGCCATGAGGATTTAGGGTTCAAACTCCTCCGGCCGCGATTTTGTTCGCATGTGGTCAGCCACAGAACCGAAGCCATCACATCGTCAGGGAGCCCTAAACGCTAGAAACGCAAAGCGCCGACGGCGTTCAGAGCTTTAGCCCGTAAGACTACCTTAGCACACTTGTTAAAAGCCCTTCTACAGCACCTGCTGTGGCTAAGATACGAAGTCGGTGACCTCTTCGACGTCCAAGTCGTCGAAGTCGTCCAAGTACTCGGTTAAGAGCTTTATGTCCAAGGCGGGCCAGGGCACTCCCCCAACCCGTCACCCCAAAGTTGGAGTTTGGGGGTACTCGGAGCCCACCGACCATCCCTGCTACAAGATCCCTGAGAAAAGGACTGCTTCAAACGGCCGAAACCGAAATTTCGATTTAGGCTGACATGATTCGATTTTGGCTCGGGAATTCGGTGATAGCATCTCCTTCGGATGCAGCCACTGGATGCACAGTGTGCTGTTGCTGCCAGTTGTGGCTGCAGAGTCTGGCAATTCTTGGTCCAAGCATCCACAAAATGCAACGCATCAGGCTTCTGAGGATTGCCCAGAAACTTCCCTAAACCCTTGACCCTATTGGTAGTGATGTCGCAACCCAAGCCCTATGAGCCATCCTGCTTAAACAGTTGCAAGAATGAAGTCTTCCGCAATCATTTGCCTCTCATCTGCCCTCTTCCCTGAACCGATCCTGCAACAGTGCAGGCAACTGGCTGAACATGCAGAGGTGTCTTGAGGGCTTCGCTGGCTGGCACTCTCAGAGTCTTCAGCTGTAGATCCGAAGCATGCAAAAGGCATTCGCAGCCGAATCCTGCTGAAGCTGTAGGGTGTAAGATCTAGGATTCAAGATTCAGGGATTCAGGATGTATAAGGTTTAGGGTTTGGGGTTTAAGGCTTCGGGTTCAGAGTTCAATCCTGAACTCGACTTCGCAACGCAGAAGCTCCCCTTCCCAGCCTGGTGCAGGCATCTTCCATGTCTCAGTCGATGAAAAGAGGCCCAAGGGTTCAGGGTTCTTATCAATTCTAAATGTCTATAGGGGCTTCAGTATGACATACAGGATTGTATAAAGGTAGTAAAAAATTTTTAGCACCCAGAACCCAAAGCCCCAGAGAATATCAAAGTTTAACGCCGTTTGGCGTCTCCTTAGGGTTTAGGCAGCATGGTGACTTGCTTGCTCTAAGCTTCGGAACGAAGGAGTGCTTACACTGTATCGTTCCGTATGGCGTAAGAAAAGGGTCAGAAGAATTACCGATACTATTTTTGGGGGTTCGTTCTAACAGCTATAGTATAATGTACCCCAAAAACCTCTTCTAATTCTTAAGGGCTCTACATTAGCTGTTCTCTAAGAGTCCCCCTTCATTCCGTGATGAGAACTTGCAACGATACCATTTTGGGGGTTCCTTATAATAACATATACCCCAAAACCCCCTTCAAATTCCTCATTCAGGGAGCCTGCTGCCTGCCAGCCGGACCTGAGTTGGCCTGAGGAGTTAAAGGCCATCATAGAGACCAGGAAGTAGTGCTTGTTTATGACCCTTTGTACGTCTAGTATGGTTTGCTCACAACCCATCCTTGTTTGCTTATGCCCGAAGTGCGAATGTAGATTTCCTACATATCGGGCAATCCTTGATCCTTACAAGCCTCTTCAACGGCCTCAAAGCGCTGAATG